CCAAGCTCATCAAGAGAGTCGTCCAAAGAGACAGAACATAAAACAGTTTCAAGGTGTTCTGGACGATGGGCCGAAGAAGAACGATCCTCTGCCGTGCGAGTCGAAGGGTTGGAAGGGTTAGTCGACGCCTTACCTTCAATCTGGTCCAAACCCTTGGACTCAGTAGAAGCAGATGTTACTCCTACTGGCTTCTCCCTTTTAGGTTCTTATTTCGAATGAGTGGGCACCACACAATTACGTGCCCAGCAACGCCACACTCCAAACACTGCGCATTGTTCATTCTTTCTTGCCAAGTGTCCTGTGCCATTCCCATTTTCTCCCAAGGCTTCTCTGCCGCAATGTCGGGATGCTCGGGAAAAGGAGCATGGTCTATTCTTCTTTCCTGGTGGTCGTGGTCCTCCCTTGTTGACCACGGCAGCAGTGACTTCCCCCTTCTCGGAATCACTGCTGTTTGTCACACCCTCGGCCTCCAGTGGCCACCTTTCCACAGTTTCCTCGTCAAAGATAACAAGGGTGTGGTCCTGGCGCTTTTGGCGCCAAAGTACACGCTTTCCTGTTCCTGCACCACCACCATACTTAACAACAGATGCATAAGAGTTCTTGACCTGAAATGTCATTTGCTCTCGTTGGAGAGCCAAATCCCGAAATTGTCTGTCCTGATTTGGACTCCGCCACGAGCTGTTCGCGAATAGGCTCGGGCAGAGCACGGGAGTAAATATACAAGATTTGGTTGTCTTCCAGATTCAATCCTGGAACCTGCAGCAACCGGTCAACCTCCCTTGACAGAGACTCTACTGAGGTCCAATGCTTTTGACCAATGGAGGTGAGCTAGTCAAAGGCCTTATCGGCGGTGGTCTTATCCAATAAGCGTTCCTTGATCTTTGCAAGGAACTTATTCAGGGTCAAAGTACCAGCCCACTCACCAATGTCTTCAAACCCTTCGGCATTAGCCTCCGCCAGTACCCATTCTTTTGCTTCCCCTCCCAAGCAAGACGTTGAGAAAGCAACTTGAAATGGTTCCTCGACAGGGGCTGTTCCAACATACGTTTGGATCAGCTATCCACAAAAGTAAGTTTTCGTCCTTTTTATTGCAGAAAGTAAAAGGCAATTTCATTTTGATTTTTTTTTTTTCTTTTCGGTTTTTCAGGTCGTGAGGTGGGGTCCTTTCTTTGGGAGATTTTGGCGGTCCCGACCGTGGACTCGAAGGCGGACTTGAATGAGGACTCGAAGGTCCTCCTTTCTTTTCTTCGAGCTTCTGAGTTTCTTCCTCGAGTGCCTTGATAGCATCTCCCATTAACTTTCCTGGTTTCTTTTCTTTCTCAGTTCTGTCTTCCTCGGTTACCTTGTGCTTCTCCTTGACCAGATTCGTGATTGCATGTAAACCCACCCTCAGCTCGTCTATCCGAATGCCATAATGGTCAATTTTCATTTCCAAGTGTGCGAGGTAAGTCACCAACTGAGAAATAGAGACAGACTGTTCCTCCCCTTCGGCGACAACAACATGTCTGATTTCCTAAACTTTTCTTTCTTGCTGTGTGTTTCTTTCTTTTTCTCTTTTCATTTCTTCTTTCTTCCTTTTCTCTCTTTTGAGTGCCTCCTCAAGCTATCTGATGTTTTCATCCACGACATCTTCAGAAACCGTTTTCTGTTCCTCTGATTCTTTTCTGTTCTCAATTTCAGCAAATTGACTCGAGACAAAATCATCAAGTGCCTTTCTGCACTTGATCAGTATGCCTTGGACACCCAGGACGTCTGTCCCCGTTACCGCAGTTTCAATAGCAGTTCTCAATGCTTTTAGATCATACACTTTGCAGATTTCGGACTCAGCCTCTGGTCCGGTCTCACGGAGTTCAGCCTCAAATTGAGTCAATCGAGCAAGCAAGGTTTTCTTTCGTTCCTCAACTTGCTGCTTGGTCAGTGGATCACGCTGTTCATCATCTACAACAAAATTTACTGAAATAGGATAGAAAAGAAGTGGGATGAAACGTGTGAGCACGAGAGTCTCAAGCATTTCCAGAAATGATACATCCTGTTTTAGCATTTGCCGCACAATAAATAGCTAATTAAACAATAATAAATTCCACAGCCGCTTCTTTTCACAGCAAGAATTCCGGTAACCAAAAGAAAAAAACAACTCAATCTACCTCTGATTCCTATGTCTAACTTTGCTGTTCTGTTGTTGTTCTATGTGATGACGTCCTAAGTGAACAGGTACCACGTCAGGCCAATGTGAGCAGATACAACACAAGTGAGTATGCACAGCACAAAACAACAATCGACACAAGGTAAGTAAGCCAACATCAAACAAACAATATGTTAGCCCCCTTCTTTCCCTGCGTCAGTCCCTGCCCAATGCAATCAACACCCCATTCGACATCTGGCACTACAGCTGTGCAATCAGCCGTACTGCCGCCGTCGTCAGAATGTACTTCCTCACTTAGGCACGCGCTAGCCTGCCACGTGTCACCCCTGCCACGTCAATAACCAATCAACAGGTGGGGTGCCACGTCAGCAACTCTGATCTGTCCTCTGCCACAGCCTTGGTTTGTCGAAGCAACCAAGTTCTTATTGCCATGTCAGCAGGAGAGGGCACTCATCGCAAACACGGCGGCCCTCTACTGCCGCGTCAGCAATCAATCGGTCCCTGCCTCGTAATGCAGCTCGTGATACCGGTTTCCAGCCAGTTACAGTGGTGCCACGTCAGCCTATCAACAATGCTGCGTCATCAAGGATCACCTCTGCACCAGATAAGTGCGTAATCCCTTTCTTGCCACGTCAGCATCAATGTCACCAGGCCACGTCAGCATCTGAAGGGATCTGCTCGCTTGTCAATATCGCAGCAATATGCCACGTCAGCAGCAGATCCCTGGGACGTGACACATCATGTGCCACGTCAGCAGTATCGTGAATCAGCGTCGCGACCCTGAATGTATGTTCGCGTGATTGGTATCCAGACTGCCACGTCAGATCTCTGGTCCTGCCACCTCGAATTGCCACCTTCGTCTTCTTCTTCAGCACGCGCGTTTCTTCATCAGAGGATGCACGGTCGGCTGTCTAGATCGCGTTGATAAACACGTGCGACAACACGGTCACACCGAGCCACGTCACCCCCAACTTACCTGGCGCCAGCTGGCACGTGCGTGTGTGATCTTCGCCATCAACTTCATTATCTTCGTCTTCGTACTTCGATCAGGAGTACAGTTCCGATACCAAATTGTAATGAACCCAAATCGTGATGACACTTGTTGATAATGCCAGCCCACAAGTCATCATCCAGCTAATGAAATATCAATAGTTGAAATCGTTACCAGATACAAAGAGATGGATAATCGTTCACAGACGAATAAGCAAGAGATTGGGAAAGTAGACTTAGAGGGTGGAAAAGAATACTACGCCCTCTTCTACTTCGGGCTCTCTTCCCAATGTCGCCAACTCAGCAACAATGATCAGAACGATATCTGAAGTTCTCCTCAACGTGCCATGTGGCACGTCAATAAGTCAATCATCAACGCTGGAGCATCATCAACCTCAAGATAAACAGGTACGTATCTCTGATCCTCCCACAGTCAT